CACTCACACACACACACACACACACACACACACACACACACACACACACACTTTATACTTGTATTCATTATTATACAGAATCCTAAACTAACAAGCAACAGTTTTAACCACCCTTTCTTTCATTTGATGTCTTTTTCTTATATTTTCATGTCTCTGTACAGCTAAATGCATTGGTCAGCGGCAGTTCCGAGACCAGTACTTTGACTCGCCAGATTTCATCCTCACGCTAAAAGATTTCTGGCTGAGATGCCGAGAGGGATTGTGGGAGTTGAAATGCCCTGCAGTTTCAGGAACTACACCTGACAATGACACCGAGACCGTTTGTACACGATACAGAGAGATAACCAGTCTCCCTCTGATTCAATCAGAAGTCAGCAGGATAATCAGGGAACACACCGCTGAAGGGAGTGAATCAAATTCCTCACAAAGGGAACAAATTGACAAAGTCGCAGAAAATGAGGACACAGAGATCTGTTCAGCTGATGACACAAAGTGGCTGAATGACCTCAATCTGGTCTGTTTTGCTGAGTTCAAGACCGAGCGCTGCTCTTACACACTAGAGAGGGAGGCCGGTGCAGTGCGGGTGGATCTGGACCAGGCTGATTTCGGATATTGTGTGGGAGAGATTGAGGTTCTGGTGCCCGAAGGAGGTGACATGAATGCAGCTCTGCAGAGGATTACAGGCACTGCTGTAGAACTGGCTCATGTTTGTGGACACACATATCATATATAGACCAGTGTTACTTTAGTATGATTGAGATTCTATTACAGTTTTTATTAATTATTAGTTAATAATCTTACTAATTAATGCTAATACATACTAATACTAACTAAAAGTTTATTTATTTTTATTTCAGCTAACGTTATATTTATTTCAAGTAACAAAAATATTTTTTTATGGTTTTAGTTTCAGTTTTAGTTTACTATAATAACCATGGCTAAGAAAGTTGATATTTGTTGCCTAATAAACCATAAATGTGACCCTGCCTGGACCACAAAACCAGTCATAAGTAGCACGGATACATTTGTAGGGTCAAAATTATAGATTTTTCTTTTATGCCAGAAATATATAATAACCGTAAATATATCAAAACCTAATTTTTGATTAGTAATATGCATTGCTATGAACTTCATTTGGACAACTTTAAAGGTGATTTTCTCAATATTTAGATTTTTTTTTTTTTTTTTACACCCTCAGATTCCAGATTTTCAAATTGTTGTATTTCAGCCAAATATTGTCCTATTCTAACAAACCATACATCAAAGCTTATTTATTCAGCTTTCAGATGATGTATAAATCACAATTTAAAAAAATTGACCCTTTTGACTGGTTTTGTGGTACAGGGTCACAGATGTCTAAAACACTTTGGCATCTATTGTTTAATAATAACCCTTTAGAATTACATAAAAATAAAGACCTCTTTTCACTTAATAATATATGCTGTATTTATCTTGTTTGTCTCCACAGGTTTAAGCTGTGAGAAGAAAGTAAAGGGGAAAATGGATGTTTACCTTCAAAGGTATCGACCTGAACACTATGCAAAGCTTCTTAGTGCTCACATCTTATAAGGAATCACTAGTGTAACATATAATTTGTAGTTTTTAAATTCTGTTTCATTTATGATTCATCCTTAATGCTTAATAGTAATGCATAAAGATTAATACAGAAAATTCAATAGTCAATTAAAAAAACTATAGTACATACTATATAGGTAGTTATATATCATGGCAATTTGGGTTAGTTAAACAGATATCTGATTAAAAATATGAATACATTATAAGTATCTGTGATTGTTTTTAAAATATAAACAACAGTTTATTTTGTCAAGTCAAGTCAAGTCACCTTTATTTATATAGCGCTTTTAATAATACTGATTGTCAAAGCAACTGTACAGCATTAATTAGGAAAATATTGTGTCAGTAATGCAAAATGATAATAGTAAACACTCAATTTTCAGTTAAAGGCAATTTTGTCTATTTCTGTTATATAAATTTGAGTTATTGAGTTATAAGATTGCTCTCTTTTTAACAAAATTGCATGTATCATGGGCAATAGGTAACAACAAGCTCTTCAATTAAGTGTGCAATAATTTTGTTGAGTTGCATGTAAGTTTGATGTGTTAGTTTGTTTGACCAATAGAATCATGTCTTAAATATCGCAGATACTTTTATTTTGATAGTTGCAAAATTTAGCAATTTTCTGCTTTGACCTAAATAGATTAACATATAATTGTAAAAGCCAACGTTTGCTCAGCAGAGGGCGCTGTTATCTTTGTTTTGAGCTGTTCGCTCAGCATGCCAGCAGTTGGCGCTATGTTCCTGGACAACCACTGACAAATTCATTCTAATCTGTTTTCACACCAGGTGGTTGGGTAATCTATACTGAACAGAATTAGAAATTATTAAAATGATCCTAAGGATTTATGACACATCAATTATCTATATATATTACACTGATTCATAAATAGCAGAAATAGATGTCCAATGATCGCACAGTGCACAACTGTAAATATGTTATGCTATTCTCAATGCTTTTCTCATCATGCCACCATGAAATATTTTTTATGATTCATAAATATTTAATTCTGTAACCACAATACATTTGGTGTCAAATTGTTGGCATTGCTCGAGTGGGTACACTATTTGCAAAATATATGTATAATTCAGAACAGATTCTAATATAGGATGTCAAAAATAAAAAAATACTTTTTTGAGGCAATAAAAGCAGTTTCTATATATACACTACCAGTCAAAACATTTTGAACAGTAAGATTCTTAATGTTTTTTTTAAAGAAGTCTCTTCTGCTCACCAAGCCTACAGCAAAAACTATTTACATTTACATTTACATTTAGTCATTTAGCAGACGCTTTTATCCAAAGCGACTTACAAATGAGGACAATAAAAGCAGACAAAACTAACAAAAGAGCAACAATATATAAGTGCAAATGACAAG